TAACAACACTGTACCCATATGAATTTACCATTTTTTTGCGACAGATAAAGCTTTATTTTGTTATTTATTATAAATCTTGGCCGAAATGTATTCCGTTATCTTTTTAGTAAAAAAAATTAGCCAAATTAGTTTATAACCAAAAATTATCAAAACGTTTTTTTTTTAATTTTTTAATTTTTTATATAATTTTTTATATTTGTTTTTTTTTTTACATACTGTCACCCTAGCAGTACAGTGTCACCATGGTGACACTGTACTACTTGTGGGGGGGTGATGAAAATTTTTTTTTTTTTTTTTAGTGATTGCTTTTACATCCTATATGGGTGTAAAAGCAATCATTTTTCTCTGTCTGCATTCTTGCAGCCATTGAGAAATACTGTGTGAGCGGTGATTGGTCACAGCTTGTCACATGGTATAAGGCTGTTGTGAATAGCCCTGTACCATGTGACCTCTGTGATCATTCACAGATTTCACACGTAGTAAGCAATGATGTCACAAGTGACATCTTGCTTACTACTTTGCATGTGATCACCGATTGGCCTATCAGTGATCACATGATCGGGACCTCGTACAGAGGTCCCGTCCGACGATCGGGGTTTCACTGTGTCCGGAGGACACAGCAGGCACCGGATCGTGGTGCTGCGCGCTCCCAGGGAGCGCGCACAGCTAGAAATGGCGGGTGCCGTTTATGAACCCCAACCCGCACCTGGAGTGACACCGCCCTGCCGTTTATAAACAGCAGGCAGACGGCAAGTGGTTAAAAAACAAAACCACACCCACTTGGCGTTTTGAATTATTTCAAGTGCAGGAGACTGATCTGGGGACTGTAAGACCCCAAATCTCTCTACATAAAGAGTACCCAAGTGTCTATTGCTGGTACATTCCTCCTTGTGACAGCAATAAAGGTAATTTAAAAAAAATGAAAGTGCCCCCATCCTCGCATGTAAAAGGTGAATGCATTTATCGGTCCCACACAAACACAGCAATCGTCCCACACATGTGAGGTATCACTGCGAATGTCAGATCATGGGCAGTAATTCTAGCCTAAAGTTGTAACCTGTAAAGGCTTTCAAAGAGTCGCCTAGGAATAGGAAAATTTACGCTATTTTAAAATTTGTGACATTTGACACCTACAGTCACTCAGCATAACATTTTATTTAAAAAAAAAAAAAAAAAAAGTTGGGTTATGTAAATAAAGTTTAAAAAAAAAAAAAAAGTATTCCCCAATAATTACATTTGGTGTTTTTCACTTTTTTTGTATTTTGCGTAACAGTTTTTCAATTTTTTCACTAGGGCCTTTGCAGGAAAAAAAAAACCAAAAAAAACAAAACCCCCACACACAGCTTTTATAATGTAAAAACAAAATGCAGACATGGCTTGGGGCTGGCCGTAAACTTATCAGTCACATCCTGGCTTCTGGCCTAGGCAAGTTACATCATACATCCCAAATGACTTCAGCAGGGAAGGGAATATAACCATTTCTTTAACCCAATTAAATTTCTTGAATGCAGAAAAATTAAAAGGAGAGCAGTTTTCAGATTCAGCGAGAAATTTGCCTGTTACCGCAGCAATAAAAAAAAAAAAAAAAAAGTCTATAAAAAGATAGGATACAGGACTTTTCGAATGTGATTTTTATAATTTTAAAAATATACTCTGCCTTTGCTTTACACAGTGATTGTAGAGGGTCTACTATTGCCTACAGCTCTAGAACCGGAACACTTTTTTGGAAATTGTTTTTCATTAAAACTTTGCATGGGCAGCCCTGGAGGAGGAGGAGGAGGAGGAGGCGGGAGGCGGCCTTGGAGGAGGAGGAGGAGGAGGAGGCGGCGGCCTTGGAGGAGGAGGAGGAGGAGAGGGAGGCGGCGGCCTTGGAGGAGGAGGAGGAGGAGGAGGAGGCGGCGGCCTTGGAGGAGGAGGAGGAGGAGGAGGAGGAGGCGGCGGCGGCTTGGAGGAGGAGGAGGAGGAGGAGGAGGAGGCGGCGGCCCTTGGAGGAGGAGGAGGAGGAGGAGGAGGCGGCGGCCTTGGAGGAGGAGGAGGAGGAGGAGGAGGCGGCGGCCTTGGAGGAGGAGGAGGAGGAGGAGGAGGAGGAGGCGGCGGCCTTGGAGGAGGAGGAGGAGGAGGAGGAGGGGCGGCCTTGGAGGAGGAGGAGGAGGAGGAGGCGGCGGCCTTGGAGGAGGAGGAGGAGGAGGAGGCCTTGGAGGAGGGAGGAGGAGGAGGAGGAGGAGGCCTTGGAGGAGGAGGAGGAGGAGGAGGCGGCGGCCTTGGAGGAGGAGGAGGAGGAGGAGGAGGCCTTGGAGGAGGAGGAGGAGGCCTTGGAGGAGGAGGAGGAGGAGGAGGAGGCGGAGGAGGAGGAGGCCTTGGAGGAGGAGGAGGAGGAGGAGGCGGCGGCCTTGGAGGAGGAGGAGGAGGAGGAGGCCTTGGAGGAGGAGGAGGCGGCGGCCTTGGAGGAGGAGGAGGAGGAGGCGGAGGCCTTGGAGGAGGAGGAGGAGGAGGAGGCGGCGGCCTTGGAGGAGGAGGAGGAGGAGGCGGCGGCCTTGGAGGAGGAGGAGGAGGAGGAGGAGCGGCGGCCTTGGAGGAGGAGGAGGAGGAGGCGGAGGCCGGCCTTGGAGGAGGAGGAGGAGGAGGCGGCGGCCTTGGAGGAGGAGGAGGAGGAGGGCGGCGGCCTTGGAGGAGGAGGAGGAGGAGGAGGCGGCGGCCTTGGAGGAGGAGGAGGAGGGAGGCGGCGGCCTTGGAGGAGGAGGAGGAGGAGGAGGAGGCGGGCCTTGGAGGAGGAGGAGGAGGAGGCGGCGGCCTTGGAGGAGGAGGAGGAGGAGGAGGCGGCGGCCTTGGAGGAGGAGGAGGAGGAGAGGCGGCCTTGGAGGAGGAGGGAGGAGGAGGCGGCGGCCTTGGAGGAGGAGGAGGAGGAGGAGGAGGCGGCGGGGCCTTGGAGGAGGAGGAGGAGGCGGAGGCCTTGGAGGAGGAGGAGGAGGAGGCCTTGGAGGAGGAGGAGGAGGCCTTGGAGGAGGAGGAGGAGGCCTTGGAGGAGGAGGAGGAGGCCTTGGAGGAGGAGGAGGGAGGCGGCAACACTGTCTTGCAATGGAGTGTACTGTGGTATTTGGTGCAATGTATAACAAATCAGCTGCACTAAATGCCAGCAAAAAGCAGAACTTCCCTTAAGGAATGCATATGTATGTAGAAAAACAAAACCAAAAAAAAAAAAAAAAAAAAAACACAAAAACCCACACAGATCTGATACTCTTTCCCAAAATACCACCCTACATATTTCAATCCTAGTTTTTACCTGGTAATTTACTGGAAAATAAAAAAAGGTTAAATTGTGTGGTTAATAGAAAAAAAAAAAATGAAATAAAAAAAAATTAAGAAAAAAAAACCCACACACAAAATTTTAAACTTTAGTAATTTACTAAAAAAGATGCAAGAAAACCTTTGCAGGTGGACCTCCATGGTACAACATGGTCAAAAGTAAAAAGGGAACGTATTGTAATCCCAACAATCTTATTAAACAAAATAAAGAGGGGGAAGTCTGTACAATCCTTAAAACAGGACGAGTATTTTATCAAGGCCATGGCAGGACAGGACCAGGATATGCCGTCCACCATTGTGAACTCCATTATAAAGTCCGATCAGTCGTCATCTCTGCGTTTCTTTTTTTTCTTCTTCGCACTTTTGTTTGCCTAAAAAAAACAAAAAACATTATATAATAAAAAAGGAAGCAGATACACACTAAGACCACATACACAGGACAAAACCATTCCAACATTTTAACAGACCCTGTCACCTGACCATTGCTTCATCATGTGACAGTTCTTGCGCTGCTCCTCTGGCACAGTATACACCATCATCCTTGGTCAAGGACCGACTTCACTGCCCAGAAACCTGATGCAGATTGGCAGCTTAGGCCTGAGCACTGCGCCCTACCAAAACACACAAGCCCTGCTCCTTTCAGAGTGCAGATTAACCAGTTCAGCTCTGGAAGGCTTTAACCCCTTCATGACCAGGCCATTTTGTTTGCCATTTAGCACTGTGCTAATTTAACTGGTAGTCATGCAACACTGTACCCACAGGTTTTTTTTGTTCCCCATAAAAATAGCTTTTTGGTGGTATTTAATCACCATTGGGATTAAAAAATAATTATATTTTTATTTTATTTTTATTTTTTTAATAATCCCAATGGTGATTAACCACTTCCATACCGGGCAATTTTCCCCGTTCCTGCTCAGGCCATTTTTCAGGTTTCAGCGCTCTCACACTTTGGGTACAATGTTGTATGACTGCGCAATTGTCATTCAAAGTAAAATTTTATCATATACTTCACACAACTAGAGCTTTTTTGGTGGTATTTAATCACCGCTGGGGTTTTTATTTTTTACTAAATTAACAAAAAGACCAAAAATTTTGAATAAACAAAAACACGTTTCTTTGTTTCTGTTATAAAAAAGTTTACAAATAAATAATTGTTTTTCATAAATTTAGGCCGAGATGTATTCTGCTACATGTCTTTGGTGAAAATAACCCAAATTAGGATGTATTTTTTAGTCTGTAGGAAAGTTATAGAGTTCACAAACTATGGTATAGATCTGAATATTGATCAATCCTGAAGTACTGACAGCCAATCTAATATCTTGAGGTCCAAGAATGTCAGGACGGGACAGATGTCCCCCCAAATGTCAGGACGGGACAGATGTCCCCCCAAATGTCAGGACGGGACAGATGTCCCCCCAAAATGTCAGGACGGGACAGATGTCCCCCCAAATGTCAGGACGGGACAGATGTCCCCCCAAATGTCAGGACGGGACAGATGTCCCCCCAAATGTCAGGACGGGACAGATGTCCCCCCAAATGTCAGGACGGGACAGATGTCCCCCCCAGGACGGGACAGATGTCCCCCCAAATGTCAGGACGGGACAGATGTCCCCCCAAATGTCAGGACGGGACAGATGTCCCCCCAAATGTCAGGACGGGACAGATATCCCCCCAAATGTCAGGACGGGACAGATATCCCCCCAAATGTCAGGACGGTACAGATATCCCCCAAATGTCAGGACGGTACAGATATCCCCCAAATGTCAGGACGGTACAGATATCCCCCAAATGTCAGGACGGGACAGATATCCCCCCAAATGTCAGGACGGGACAGATATCCCCCCAAATGTCAGGACGGGACAGATATCCCCCCAAATGTCAGGACGGGACAGATATCCCCCAAATGTCAGGACGGTACAGATATCCCCCCCAAATGTCAGGACGGTACAGATATCCCCCAAATGTCAGGACGGTACAGATATCCCCCAAATGTCAGGACGGTACAGATATCCCCCAAATGTCAGGACGGTACAGATATCCCCCAAATATCAGGACCAGATATCCCCCAAATGTCAGAACAGTACAGATATCCCCCAAATGTCAGGACAGTACAGATATCCCCAAATGACCCCTTTTTGCAGAGTAGACAGTCCGACGTACTTCATAAAAGAGGCATGGCGAGTTTTTTGAAGTTGTATTTGATTTTTTTTAATTTTTTCATTTTACGAAAAATTGACACTTTTTTTTTTTTACATACCGTTACCAGTGCAGTACAGCGGCATCATATAACTGGCATGGCGGTGATCAGGGACACTGACTGGTAACAGTATGAAAAAAAAATATATATATATATATATATATATATATATTTTTTTTGATTAAATTTTTTTCATATTTCACTATGACCAAATTAGTACAATGTTACCATAGTAACATTGTACTACTTTGGGGAAGTGATCAGTTTTTTTTTTTTTTTTTTACACACACAATTTGCTTATAGAAAGAATTACTTTGCTATAAGCAAGCATTTACCTGAATGACATCGATTCATTCAGGGTTTTTTTTTTTTGCTTAGCTGTGATTTGGCCACGGCTAATCACATGACATGTGCATGTGATCGCTGTGACCATTCACAGCTAGATACTAGTATACAATGGATGGCATGAATAAAGCCATCCATTGTATACAACTGTCATGTGACCTGCTGTGATTGGTCACAGCAGGTCACATGGTACGGGCAACGGGGCCGATACTCAGATCTGTCATCGGCCGTGTCCAAGGTCGATACGCGGCTCTGCAAGCGCGAAAACTGCGCATGTGTGGGGCGCCGCCAAATGGCATCCACCCAGAAAGTTAGTGCATTTTTGTGGCCGCCAAACGGGCATTGGCCGGGTGGCAAATGGTTAAATACCGTAAAAAAAAAAAATAAGCTATTTTTATGGGGAACAAAAAAAAAAAAAAAAAAAAACTGTGGGTACAGTGTTGCATGAGTGAGCTACAGTGTTTGCCCCTCCTTAAAGAGTTTTTTTTTGTTGTATTGAATGTTTTTACGTTTAGGCCAGCATGTATTTTGCTACATCTCATTTTCTCACTAAACACTCAATAGGTGTATACGGATTGGTTTGTGAGAAAGTTAGTGTCTACAAACTATGGGATATCCACACTTTTTTTCAAAATCAACAGCAGCAAGTGACTTCTAGGGAGGACTGCAATAGTGTGGCGGGCAATCTGACACTGGGTGGGAACTGAGAGATATTACCAGTGATGTTATACACTGTCCTAATGACACGAAGGGAAGGGGGTAGATCTTGAACTAACAAGTGTTAATGTGTTTATTATGTGCTGCTTTTTACTAGGCATCTTTGTTCTGTCTCCCTGCAACAAAGACTGTTCCCTCTGTATAGAGCTCTGTGTTGACTGTCAACACAGGGCTCTGACTAGAGGCCAGCAACGTACAGGTATGTCACGGTGCCTGTATGGACCGCCCACTCACCGTACGTAGTTAGGGCAGTCTTTAAGCGGTTTATAAAGTTCACCATGCTGGAGGTGGACTATGAGAAAATCCTGCCACACAGAGGAAGAAATGGACCAAGAAAAAGAGCTTTGGTATGGAAGTTCTCCCACGCCCAGCAGAACGTCCCGGTAATTACCTTGGCAGAGTCTTCCGACAACGCTTGTTCTTCCTCTTGTGATTCTTGGTGCTTTTTCTTCTTTTTTCTTTTTTACTGAAGTGCATTCATCACCACCAGCCTCTTCCTCCTCCTGTAAGATAAATCATCAATTGTGGCTGCTAAACAGTGCGGTCTATTTCAGAACCGAATAGTAACCAAACTGATGCAGTCTTTACTGCAGGTAGGTACTGAGCTCTGTACGGTTTAACCAAAAATCAGACCATGTTTACACACACCTACCAAAAAAGGATATCGGTGGATAATTTAAGAAGCAAAAACGAAAAAAAAAAAAAAAAAAACCACCAACCCCAAACCACCCACCAACCCCAAACCACCCACCCAACCAACAAAACCACCCAACCAACAAAACCACCCAACCAACAAAACCACCCAACCAACAAAAACTCAAAAATAACCAAATAAAAAAAAAGCACAACTGAAGTTGGATGTAGGTTTTTGTCTCATGTACAGACTCATCCAAGCTGCAACTGCTGTATGCAAAGCTGTATTATGGTCTGTATAAAAAGTTTACCTTGACCACCACTTCCTCTTCAGCTGGTTCTTCCGCTGCCTGCTTCTTCTGGAAGACACAAGACAAGATTCATGGAGTTATAAGAGTCCCAAACTCTGTACTTCATCTAACCACGTGAAGACAAATGCATTTTCTGACAGGTTTTGTTTACAAATTTTAAAATCAGTAATTTTTCTCTAGGGGAAAAAAAAAAACAAAACAAAACAAAAAACAACAAACAAAAACAAAACAACAAACAAAAACAAAACAACAAAAAACAAAAACAAAACAAAACAAAAACAAAACAACAACAAAAACAAATTCTAATCTTTAACCTCTGGACGCCGATGTAACAGAAATATGCGGCCTCACAGAACTGGGCTTTTTTTCCCAGTGGGGCCACATATTTGCATACCTGTCTTTGTGCTGGGAGCGCGCCGCTCTACCAGCACAGAGACTGCGGTGTCACCGAGAGCCCCGTTCTAATGATCGGGATCGGAGACTCCCAATTTCCGGGTCACGTGATTACTGTGATAGCCTCTGATTGGTTTTCACAGTGATCAGTCACTGTGCAGCCCGGCCCCCTTGTTTTTTTTTTCCTATGAAAGGAGAAGAGAGATGCATTGTATTTCTAACTACTGGCAGAGAAAAAAAAAAAAAAAAAAAAAAAAAAAAAAAAAAAAAAAAAAAAAAAAAACCTAGATCGAGGTTTGATCTAGTTCAGTGCCAGGGTTAGTGTTTGGGTCAAAGGTCAGGATATAAAAAAAAAAGTGTCAGTGTTAATGTCAGTGTCACAAAAAACAAAAATGCACACTATTGTTTCTGGGCTGTACTCCGGGTACAAACAAATAACTCGCATATATGGTATCGCTGCGATCGTCAGGAGCTGGAGAATTTATTTTGGGTTGTTCTTTGGTGGTAGGTTATGGTAGTAACAAGAAACACACAGCTAAATGATAATTTTTTTTTTTTTTTTTTTTAGCTGTGTTTGTTAGGATCATAACCTACCACCAAAGAACAACCCAAAATAAATTCTCCAGCTCCTGACGATCGCAGCGATACCATATATGCGAGTTATTTGTTTGTACCCGTAACTGACACCAATTTTTTTTTTTAATACTGACCTTTGACCCAAACACTAACCCTGGCACTGAACTAAATCAAACCTTGATCTAGATATTTCTTTTTTTTTTCTTCATTACTCATTCTTTGTTTTTGTTTTTTTTTTTTACCATTTTGGGACGGATTTTCTTTAATTTTTTTTTTTTTTTTTTTAAAGAAAAACCGGCCCAAAATGGTAAAAAACAAAAAACAAAAAAATATCAGGAGCTATCCATTACCATTTACCACCAAATGAAAGCCCAATTTGTCCTGAAAAAAAAACAAAAAAAAAAAAAAAACCAACAAGGTATAAATCCACCTGGATGTACAAAGTTGTGATATGTACGATTTTACCATCGCATGTCAACATTGCAGAATTGCGCTTAGGTATTTAGATTTGAGATTTGTTTTCCCCTTAGGTGTGAAGGGGTTAAGTATATACACTTTTTTATTAGAGAAAAATTACCAATTTTAAACATCAGAAAATGCATGTCTTTAAGTGGATAAATGATTAAAAGTACAGAAAAAAAAAATATATAAATAAATTATACACACACACAATTTATGTCACATGGTATTTGTGCAGCGGTTTTTCAAACAAGTTTCCCCCAACCACCCCCCCCCAATAAACACCCCAATTCTTTCGTGCAATACAAAAGGAGTATGTTACAGCAAGTAAAAAGATACCAAACATGTCCCACCTTAAAAAAAAAAAAAAAACTCTGGCGACATTCCACATAACCCAAAAACTTACCTTTTTCTTTTTGGTAGGCTTTGGAGTTGTTGCATCGCTGTCCGTATCACTTACATGCTTTCTCTAAAAAGAAAAAAAAAAAAAAAAAAAGTTACAGGGTGGCAGGGCTGCGCAAGGTCAGGTATACACACATGCGATTTGCATTTTTGGGTAGGGGGTGCGCACGCTGCCCTACCTGCGTCGCCACTGGTGGCTACGGATGTCAATCACCGGGTCCTGGCCGGAGATTTCCCACCGGCACCCGTGGATCGCCAAAGAACACCGACAAGGGAGAGACCTGTGTTTACACAGGTCTCTCCTGCCAGCAAGGACGTGCTGCTGTGTACTTCTCTGCACAGCATGTCTTTGCTGTGTTAACCCCTTCCCGCCCAGTGTCATTAGCACAGTGTTAGTGCTCTTTATGAACACTGATCACTGTATTGGTGTTACTGGGGATGTCAGTGGCAGTTAGTTCGTTCCCCCCCAATGTCAGAATGCCTACAAGAACGCAGTATAAGTCGCCGATTGCCGCCATCACTAGTATTTAAAAAGAAAAAAAAATTTTTACATTGGGATTTTTTTTTTTTTTTTTAAAAGCAAAGACATGTAGTAGAATATATTTTGGCCTAAATTTATGACAAATTTGATTTAAATTTTTTTTTCGCTGGATGTTTAACAAAAAAGTATTAATTTTTCACAGCAGTTTTTTTTTTTTAAATTTTTTATAGAAAAAATAAATAAATAAATAGTGATCAAATACCACAGAAGGAAAGCTCGATTTGTGGGGGGGGGGGGGAAAAAAAAAAAAAAAAAAAAAAAAAAAAAAAAAAAAAAAAAAAAAAAAAAGACACATTTCCATTTGGGTGCAGCAGTGCATGACCGCACAATTGCCAAAAGGAATGCAGCGCTGCAACACAAAAATAAATGGCCTGGTCAGGAAGGGTTGGGGGGGGGGTTAAAATGACTGGACACAAAAACAGTCCTTTAAAAAAAAAAAAAAAAGGGTGAATATGAAAATCTAAATGAAGGCCACCATACACTGCCAACCGCATGGTTCAAGAAATGGCCACTGCCAGCTATTATA